GGTTAAGGATATAACAGATTAAAATGACAAAAAATGAGAAAATTTTATTAACTAAAGGTAGATAAAAATAAGTTGAACGACTCAAAGTTGACATATGAAATATTTCGCTGGTCAAAATTTATTTTTATTTTCTTATAGTTAAAACAATACTATCTAATAATTATCTATAGTATTCGGTTAAATGGACTAAACTAAAATGATGTTGTCACTTTCATAATCTTAAAATGTATTAAAATAAATTTAGTTATTATAAGTAAACAAATAAAACAGCTAGTTGGTATAGTTAATATCTTATCATTTTTATGAAATCCAAGGTCGACCTGCAAGTATAATTCAATTTAGGGAAAATACTGGGTATAAATATTTTTTAGTGTTGAATTCTAAAATATAGACACAAAAAATTGAATTTTCGGGTATAGGAGGTAGCTCTGAGGAGCTCCGTCGAATCCACTGTATCTCCGCGGAATAGCAAATTCGTAAATAAATCAGAGTATTAAAAAAACCCCAAGATCCATTCAACGGAGCTACCTTCGAGGAATGAACTTATTCCGCGGAGGTAGCTCCGAGGAATGGATATTCAGAAGAAAAAAAAACACTTACATTGAATCTTTTATGTAAAAATATCCAATTAAAATACCAATTTTTTTCTACCTCACATTTATTCTAAACATTGTCAAGAAAAATTCATATTATCATAATCTTTTCTTGAAAATAATTAGTTGCGGAATGAATATAAACCCTGAAGAATCAATGTGAAATTTTAGTTTTTGAAGATCCATTTCTCGAAGCTACCTCCGCGGAATGAGTTCATTCCTCGGAGGTAGCTCCGCAGACTCGATCTTGGGTTTTTTTTTTTATAAATACCCTGATTTATTTACGATTTTGCCATTCCGCGGAGCTATAGTAGATTCTGCGGAGCTATCTCTGCAGAATCCATGTCTATACCCGGAAATCCAATTTTTTGTGTCTATATTTTGGAATTCAACCCAAAAAAATGTTTGTAGCCGATATTTTCCCTTCAATTTAACCTTTTGCTTATTTTAATTAAACGTGTTATGCGTATTGCTGATATTTATGTACTAAAAATAAAAATTATCAAAAAAATTGTATTTAGATTTATCAACTCATGTATAAAATAAATATAAATATACATCTTTTGTAAAAGTTTTATGTATATATTTACCCCTAAAGGAATCATAAAGATCAGACAATCCTAACATGTAATTCCTAAATATCCTTACCCTACTCACTATCTTGCATCTCTATCAGTTCAGATATCAGTCACAAAATGCATCTCTTCTAAGCAGACATTCTAGCATGCAACCCGGAGCATATGCTTTGTCCTATATTATCTTGCAATTATATAATAGCATACTAAAATATAATATTCACGTATGATTATTTTGAAAATCACTTACTTCAACTTAGCTGATTGCATGAGACCTACCCCTTTCTTTATAAAAACCTTTTTGAAAACCGTTTTCTTTTAAAAGATTTTACTATTCCTCAGTTGGAGTCCATACATACTATGAAGTGTACCTGAATCCCTCAAACCAAGGTTCTGATACAAACTTGTAACGTCCCAAAAATACCAAGTAAATTTTTTTTTTAAAACAACTCAAAACATTCATTCATTTGTTCAAAAGACAATCAAAGTGTAATGTATTCTCAATACCATAGTGAACCATATAAAAAAGATAGTGCAAAATAAAACACTGGGGTATGCAGTGAGATTAGGCTGAGCCCTTTCCTTTTGAACTAGAAGTACCTAGAACATTTTAATATAAAACTATAGCATAAAGCTTAGTGAGTTCCCCAAAATGCTACATACATACATAATATCACATGTCTATTTCAACCCCAAATAAATGCTATGGGCCAAATCATAGTCTTATAATCACTTTCTTCCATGGGCTAAATCATGGTCTTACAAACAAGTATCAGAGGTAAGATCCTGGTCTTCCATATAATTGCTACAGGTTGCATCCTGGTCTTTCATACAAGTTTCAGGGGTCAAACCCTGGTCTATCATATAATTTCCAAAGGCCTAATCCTAGTCATTCATACAAGTTTTAAGGGCCAAATCCTGGTCTTCCATGCAAGAGTCACAAAGACAACTAGCAACCTACATAGTATACTAAGAAGAATCACCTTACACTTTATTCGAATAAACCACAACCCAAACAAATGTGATATCGATGCTACAACCCACATATCTGAACACCCAAGGTCAAACCTTAGTCTATACTTCTAAAACTAGCAATTTGGCAAAAAGTCAACTAGGTTAAAAAGTCAATAGTCAAAGTCAACGCCAATAGACCTCCATGGCGTGGCCACCCATTGGCCACGTTGTGGCAATTTCACGATAAAGCAGTTGGAACCGGACCAACCACCACGACGTGGAAATTGCACATGAACAACTTAATGGATTCAACTCTTAACTCCTAATCCCAGAGCTCCAAAGCATACATCTGAATCTCTTCAAGGTCTTGATGGATAAAGTTTCCAACTTTATTTATTAGGACATCACCATAAATCAAGATCTATAATCCTAAGTTCTTAATCATTGTAACAAACGCATGGACACCAAACTAAGTCATGCAAAACCACTTTCCTGCCAACACATGGTCTAGAAGCCAAATGTTGCACTAAAATTCTCTGGAGTTCACTTAAAATCCAAGGACAAGGAGATCGGGACCAAAAAGCTTATAAAATGACCTAGAAAAGATAATGTGAAAGGTTGAGACTTTATACCTCCAAAAGGTCAAAAATTTGATGAAGATGTTGAATCTAAGCTAGAACCAAGCTTACAAGAAACAACTCATTCCTTCAATATTCATAAAGATGGCTTTATACACTCAAAACACACACAAAGAGGCTAGGGTTTGTGTAGGTATCGATTTCTAAGGATAGAGACTGCCAAATGAGGTAGCCTTAAGCGTTAGTGACTTTAAATGGGGCACAAAACCCGAATTATAGGGTTTTGAACCCCAACATCACCACGTCTTGGCCAAGACCTTGCCATGTCGTGGTGCATTATGAATGTGTGCTTTCTGAACCAAGCAACCACGTCATTATCACCCCATCATTACTTCATGGCCCAACCAAAATCCTAATAACTTAGATTAGTATAATAATATTTGGAAACGAGTGTTACAAAAGAGATGAAGTTTTAGTTCTTTCATCCTCTCAAAGTTAGGAATCAAAAATCCATGTTGTGCCAATTATTACTATCACAAGTCATTAAAAAAATAACGGTATTCTTTAATCTTATGATCTTTTCTTATCTGCTGATTGCTTAAAACCTTAAATCCAGAAAACTCATTCAGAGGAAATTCCTCGACCCTTAATACTCATTTATTCAATTTTTGATTTTTTTTCTTATTACTTTTTTCTTCGTAAATCATAGAAAATACTCAGTACTCATAACCCATTTAATTGAAATTCACCTGCAATAATCTTCTTTTTCTTAATTGTTTCCTATTTCAGTGCATCGCAAGTAAATTGAAAGGAGGACAAAGATTTGAAGATTAGAACCTGAGCCTATGGAAGAAAACCAAAAGGTAAATAGACTTTTATTATTCTTTTTTATTCTAGATTTCTATTTTTGAATTTTGTTTACTATTTAGACTTTAGAAATAAATCATTTTTTATAATTTTTTGTTCTTATTTTCTTAAATCCATACAGTAACACTGAACAAGCTAAACGACAATACATTGACTTGACTGTCAATTGACCTTTCTAATATATTGATTCTCTTGATTCTTTAAGTATCAAAATTTGTTGGATTTTATAAGTTACAAAAATATTATTTTGCCAGAAAAACTTAAACCATAAGTTCACATGCAACCTAAAGGATCTATGTTCTCATGATGATTTGCAACAAACAATTGAATATCAAGAACCCTAAAATTCTATTTCTATTTTTAATGAGATTATGTCATATTAAATCCATTTAGCTAACAACCCTCCATCATACAAGAAAGTGGTGGGTAAGAATGGATACTCAATGCGATCATTTTATAGGTCGCTTCTTTAAACTCCCCTTATATTATGGCTTCATAAATGAGGTGTACTAACCATTTGACTGACTTGTCTTATACATATCGTATATTAATCTTTTAATTATATATAGTATAATGTGTATTTGAAAACTTTTCTAAAATACTAGATGTAAATTTAAATTTTTTAAAATTAATAAAAAAAATTAATTCGATTTAAAAATAAACCAATTTTAATTTAATCTTTGTCTTTTAATTAAATAATTAATTAAATTAATTAAATCATTATAGATTAAATAATTATTTACAATTAACCAATTAATAAAATAATTCAAATTTAAACCTAATCCTAAGCCTTTTAATTTTCGAAAATAGGCTAGGGTTTATCAAGTTTTAATTGTTCAAATTTTAAAGCTTTTAAAATAACAAATAAGGAAACAAGTTAAACCCTAAAAAGGGCACCTCAATTTTCAAAAATGGACAACTGAGGCTAAGGTTTCTAAAACCCATGATAAAATTGAAAATATGAGTGTACAAGCTAGGGTTTCAAGAACCCTAGTATATTTTGAAAATTGCCTCCTTAGGGTTTAGTTTCTATAAACCCTCATTTTGATCTATTCAACTTTTAACAAGATCAATGAGAACAATGGCTCTGATACCCTTATTGGTTACAAAAAGGGCTAATGTTATATTAGCCCATCAAACTTTTTGTGTTTGTCTTAAAAGGTCACTAAACTTTTTTTGGCACATTAAAAGAATAACTTTCATTTCTCTGTTTTAAAATACCTTTATGTTACCTTTTACTGGGTTGAAAGGTAATATACATGTCATGAAGGAAAATGTCGGTACTAGGTCATTTAATGAAATGGCCATGTGTAGCACATTTATATTAATTTGTTTAAAATAAACCATTTGTATTTTACAATCCCATCCCCCTCATTGAAGAAACCCCTCCTCATTGAAGAAAACCCTCGTCCGACCATAGTAACTGAAGATTGATGGCTATATTCCTCTTAATCAAAGTTCATTTCCAAGGTATGTTCATCAACAAACCTTTTTGCTATTCTGATGGCGTTCATCATGTGTTCGAGAACATCGATTTTGCTGGTATGTCATATAATGAGTTTGTGGATTTTATTGAACGATTCACACAAGAGAAGTTTGAGAAACTTTATTATTGTCAACCCGATTTACAAATCCCAAAAGGTTTAACCTTGATTTATAATAAGCTTCAATATCAAGAATTTATAGACATTGTTTATCGATGTGGAGTACAAGTTCCTGTTTACATGGACCATTTTGGTACTACTGTGCATGTAACTAAGGCAAATGAAAATGAAAATAAGGATAATTGTTTTGTGAAGTCAAACATGTCAATCAAAGGTGAAGAAGGTATTGACCTAACTGACTTCATGAGTGCACAATAGAGCAATATGGAAGGAGTAACCTATGAAGAAGTAAGTAAGGCAAATGGAAATGAAGATGCCACAGAAGGTTATCCAAAATATGATGAATATAAGAATATCCCAGATGCGAAAGGAAAACAAATGTTTAATGAGGTTCACTGGCCCTAGGTATGAGGTTCACTGGCCCTAAACAATTAAAATTCATGCTTTGTAATTCTGCACTAGCAAATGGGTATCAATTGCACTATGAAAAAAATGATAGCAAAAAGGTTAATGGTTAAGTGTAGTGATGGTCAATGCATATTTAGGTTGTGGGCACCATGGATGAGTGATGAGCATTCATTCCAAATTATCCCTTATCATTGTGCATAATTGTGCAAGAAATTTTAAGTTAGGGTCAACTGTTACTTACAGATGGATTGGAAGTCATTTCACCATGAAAGTTCTTGAGAATCAGAAATTCAATGTTAGGATGTTAAAATAGGAAGTAAAGACTAAATTTGGCATAGAGGTTAGTATGGTACAATGTATGAGAGCCAAGCAATATGCAGTGTCTCTTGTTGAAGGTACCATAGTGGAAAATTATGCAAAGTTGTGGTCCTATGGTGAGGAGATAAAAAGGTCTAATCCAGGGTCAACAGTCAAGTTGTCTGTGAACTCTATGCCAGATGGGAAAACTAACTTTTACGCGATATATATATATATATATATATATATATATATATATATATATATTCATGCACTAAAGTAGGTTTGAAGAAGTGGTTGTAGAGAGATAATAAACTTAGATGGGTGTTATCTAAAAGGACTGTGTATTGGTTAGTTATTATGTGTTATTAGTAGGGATGGTAACAATCATATATACCCAATAGCTTGGGTTGTAGTTTGTGTTGAAAATAAAGACAACTGGAAATGGTTCTTAGAAAACTTTCAAGAAGATCTGCATCTTGAAGGTGGGTTTAGTAAGACATTGATATCAGATCAACATAAGGTACGTTTTTGTTCATAAGGCCACGGCTTATTTGTTTTAAATGTGACTTCTAAATGTTTTGATGATGTAAATGCAAGGTATAATTGAAGCAATGAAGGATTTATTTCTATAGATAGAACATAGGCAATGTGCCAGGCACGTTCTTTCTAACTTCAAGAAGAAATTCCATGGGGCTCAATATGATAAATTATTTTGTAAGGCTTGTAAGCCATCAAGTGAACCTCTTTTCAATTCTACAATGAAAGAGATTCAAATGATTAGCCCTGCTGCATATGTGCATCTTATGGGTAGGAATCCAAACTCATGGTGAAGAGCATTTTTCAAAATAGGAAAGGGGTGTGATGCAGTTGAGAATGGGTTATCTGAAGCCTTAACAGTGTTATTTTGGATGCTAGGAAGAAGCCAATTCTTACAATGTTGGAGGATATTAGACTATATACTAGGTCTAAAACTATGGTTTATATTTTTCTTTTCTAGCCAATTGTAATTTTCCGTCTAGGACCGATAAGTGTTTACGGCCCAATGTGTGTTTACGGTCATAAACCCATTTACGGCCCATATTCCCCAACTATATATATATATATATATATATATATATATATATATATATATATGTGTGTGTGTGTGTGTGTGTGTGTGTGTTAGGGTGAGGAGGGGATAATGAGTTTACGGACAAGAGAGAGAGAGAAAGCAGCATAAGTGTGTGTTAGTGTGTGAATCTTGTGTAAGGAACATCATTCTAATCAAATCATACCAGATTCATATTCTTCTTCTTCTTCTTCTCTTTTATTTTGATCTGGCATCACCCATTTGATTGGGATTCCGCATCATCAAACGGATCTGATTGATACACAAGCAGATTTGGGACTTACAAGTGGTATCAGAGCTTGGATTGTATCAATCAAATTTTCCAGATCTGGATCGTATTTGATCTTATTTTTGAAGGATTTTTGCGATTTTGGATAGATCTCTGAAAATTAGGGGGGTTGTTCTTTGTGTTTTTGATAAAAACGAGTTTTTGATCGAGTTTTGGAACAAAAAGAGATGAAAAACGCTATTTTTCACGACATCTGAAGCAGTGTTTACGACCATTGAAGGGTTTACGGGCATAAACTCATTTACAGCCGTAATTAGTTTACAGCCCATACGGCCGTCCTCGCATAGAGTCCGAAGTTCTCGCTATTTACACTTAAAAAGGAGAATCGATTTTGGGGGTTGCCTGGGATCGAACGCAGCTCCCTGATTGATAAACCACACGCCTTACCAGTTGAGCTACAAGGCAACACATTAACATTTCGTTGGTTTAAAATTTATACACTTCGTAGCAGCACCAAATAATCAAAAGAGATTTTGGGGGTGCCAAGGATCTAACCCGGGTCCGCTGATTCATTATTCCAGCGCCTTACCAACCCATCTAGCAAGCATTTTGTTCCAAATCTTCGAAATTTAATTCAAAAGGAGTCCTTTCTCGGTTCGTAATTTCGCATTTTGACATATTTATCCCAAAAACCAATTTCTTTTATTTTTAAATTTCATTTTCAACCCACAAATTTTAGTTTTTAATTTTTGACTTTTTGATCTTAAATTTTGACTTTGACTTCCAAGTTTGACATTTGACTTTAAACTTTGACTTTTTCGTTTAACTTTCAAATTTTCAAATATAGCTTTTCGGTTTGACTTTTAAGTTTGACTTTTTTAAATTTGACTTTTTTAAATTTGACTTTTAAGGTTGACTTTTGAGGTTTTAAGTCAAAGGGCATATTTTTAAACAACGAGTTCCTCAAACATTCTAATCAAGTGCTTCCAAAACGGCCCAATTATCCTTTCTTTGTTAATGGGCCCAAAGTCCATGTCCAAAATCATTAACGGGCCTCTTGGCCCAAAAGACCCATTCATAACACCAGTGGCCCAAACAGATAACATGGCCCACTATACTCAGAATACAACCAAGTCCAATAACCAAATGAGGCCCAACAGTCCAAAAGCTCAAAACAGATTCAAGCCCATCTATGATGTGTATGCTTAACATACCATCAATGTTAGGACTTTACTTAATAAAAGGGAACCCAACCCCAAGTCCTTCCAAAAAGGCCCAATCATCCTTTCTTTGTTATTGGGCCAAAAGTCCATGTCCAAAATCATTAATTGGTATATTGGCCCAAAAAGACCCAAACATAACACCAATGCCCAAACAGATCAAATGGCCCACTATACTCAAAATGCAACCAAGTCCAATAACCAAATAAGCCCCAACACTCCAAAAGCCCAAAACCGATCCAAGCCCATCTGTGATGCGTACGCTTAGCGTACCATCATGGTACGTGCAGCGTACTGGGGTTCTTGGGCTTACGCGCCGCGTACACTAGGTTACTCCCAGCGTACTAACATATTAAGCACTTTTTCCATTAAGTGCTTAATACTCGATTCTTTTACGTTCAAAAGTCAGATATAAGCTCAAAAAGACGACCTAAGGCATAAAGTTGGCAATTTTATGCCTTTGCATGTCCCATATGCATTCAACACATTAAGACCTTTTGAAGGTTCTTAACCCATGCATGAGATCAAAACTCCCACCAAGACTCCATTTTTATGTTACTAAAGGACCAAAGGACCTCAGATCTGTCATTTTTATCTTCTGGAGTTGCTTAACTTACAAATGGAGGCCCAAAATCAACCAAAGGGGCAAAACTAGAAAACCCTAGCTAGATCTAGAGATTTAAGTGGAATGATCCTAGCTTTTTACCTCCAGGAACTCCTCAAGGTCGTCTTTGTGCAGATTCTTGAAGCCAAAAGACACTCCAAGCTTCTTTGACCACTTCTTATTCTTGGATGAACATTAACAGGACCACAAATGCACTCTCAAGGCAAAAATGCACTCACAAACGACATTAGGGCTTCCAGGAACGTTTAAAGGTGAAATGAGCTGATGAGGGTGAGGCTCAAGTGAGTTAAGGGCGTTTAAATAGGTCACATGTCCGCAAATTAGGGTTTGGACCCTCAGCACGTACGCCAAAGGTACTTCTGGCACACCCAACATACGTGCGGCTCCTCTGAGACGAGTCATGTGTAGTACGCTAAGTGTACTCAGAAGTATGTCCAACGTACTTAAGGGACCAATTATGTCAAAAATGAAATTTCTTGAAGGGTTTCAAGTCATACCTGGTTTAGGGTGTTACAACTCTCCCCCACTTGAACTAGACTTCGTCCTCGAAGTCCACATCTGTAAATAGATCAGGGTAATGCTCCTGCATCTCCTCCTCCAGCTCCCAAGTCCATTCGGGGCCCTTCTGGTGCTGTTATTGCACTTTTACCAATTTCACTTACTTGTTCTGAAGAACCTTTGTCTTCCTATCTAAGATGGAGAGCGACCTCTCAACATAGTTCAGGCCCTCATCCACCTGAATATCGTACAATAAAATAATCGCGGACTCGTCAGCAACACACTTCCGATGCTGAGAAAGGTGGGAGGTGTTGTGAATCTGGCTAAGCTCCCCCACTTTAAACTCGAGATTCGATCGTCGTCGATCACTATAACTTTTCTGGCGGCTCTACGCGACTCGCATCCGGTCACACACCTGCTGAATCAGTTTGGTAGTCTTGAGCACCTCAGTCCGTATAACATTTCAAATGGAGCTCGATTAATACTAACATGATAACTATTATTGTATGAAAATTCCGCCAGTAGGAGGTACGTGTCCCAACTACCTCCAAAATGTAACACGCATGTCTGGAGCATGTCCTCCAATGTCTGGATCGTCCTCTCGCTCTGGCCATTAGTCTGGGGGTGATACGCCGTACTAAAATGCAGTTGAGTACCCAGTTCCTCGTGGAACTTATTCCAGAACGTGGATGTAAACTGGACATCCCTGTCATAGACTACCGAAATTGGCACCCCGTGCCTAGCCACCACCTCTCGTACATAAATATCCGCCAACTTCTCAGCAGATATACCCTCGGAAATCGGAATGTAGTGGGCACTCTTCGTAAGTCTGCCTACGATCACCCAAATGGCATCTACACCCCTACCCGTCCTCGATGACTTCATGATGAAGTCCATAATGATCTCTTCCCACTTCCACATAGAAATGGGTAGTGGCTGAACCTTTCCATGAGGCTGCTGATGGTCGGCATTGACCTTTCTGCTGGTTAAGCACTACTCCACAAACTAGGCGATCTC